CTCAATGACATGATTAATTTATCCAGTTTATGTTATACTGATTAATTAACAAATATACATGAATATTACAGATTATCATGATCAGAATAACAAACATCTTGTAATTGTATTATGATCCTGGATGGACTTGAACTTTACCTTCAAATGCTCTCACATAGCCATGTGCATACAACCACTGACAGAGAAGTCCTACTCATAGCCTTCTCGTGGCGAGGGTGTTGTTTACGGTATTGAGAGGACGAAAAGTGAATGTCCGGCGCTTTAACCGGGTTGGTTGATATTGAAGATCCACTGAGGGCAGTTGGAAAACCCTCACTACAAACCAATGGTGCACATGGGTTCCAGGAATTTTAGGGAACAAATGGAGTATGAATCTATTGTTTAGTCACCGGCGACCATGGGACTGAATCTCCTGACGTTGCTCCACTGCCTTGTGGGTCAGACCTTTAGGTCAAAAGCTCGGGGAATGACCTAAGAAAACTACCTGCTTCAGTTTGGGCGTCCGGGCAATAACCCAGCCTTTATACAAATCGAATGATTTATGTGGCGCATATGTATCTGGTGCCTCATTGTACCACTGTTTATGTGTTTAAATGAATAGACGACAAATAAACTACTATTTGATGCCTAATGGAGTAATCTTGGAACTACAAATTCTGCATGCAAAGCATATAGACGATAAGTTGGAAGTTGAACGCCTGTCTAAAATAAACTTGCCGCCATTGCTTTTCATTTATTTGAGTACATAAACATTGGTACAAGGAGGCAACAAATATATGTACGCTACATCAATCATTCGATTTGTGTGTGGGCTGGGATACTGCTTATGTGCTCGAACCGAAGCACGTGGTTTTCTTAGGGGGCCACACCCCGAGCCTTTGACCTAAAGGTCTGACCCACAAGGCAGTGGAGCAACGTCAGGAGATGCAGTTCTATGGTAGCCGGTGAGTAACAATAGATTCATACTCCATTTGGTTCGAAACCATGGTTTTCCAACTGCCATAGGTAGACTACGTGTCCACCAACCCGGTTAAATCGACGAACATTCGCTTTTCGTCTACCTAATTCCGCAAACAACACCCCCGCCACGAGGACTTCCCTGTCAGAGGTTGTATGCACGTGGCCATGTGAGAGCGTTTCGAGAGGGAAAGTTGACTCTCCCCACTCTCGGTCCTACCAGGGCATTTGAAGGCTTCGTTATTAGTCGATATGTTTATGTTTCATATACATTCAACTGTGTAAATCTGTCATGTAATTATTCTATTATTTTCTAAACGAAAAAGTTTCATCATAAATTAAGTAGAGTTTCAGAATACAGGCCTCATCGTTAATTTGTATTTACAATAAAATAAACGTGACTTGAATTCTAGTGAATGGATTTATTTACTTATCACATCTAAATTAGATGCTTACACACTATGTTATTGTTAACATGAAGGATTATGTTGAAACAAACTGATTGGGTGATTATCAGTCAACTAGAGCTGGAGAATAATCGGAGTAGACTCACCAATCTACTTGTGTAAAATTATAAACATACTAACCTTTTTCTTACTGTGACTCACTTGAATTTAACTTGATTTATTTGAAATATAATTATGTACCTGTCCAAGCTGTGCTCTGATTTGAGAGACTAGTCGAGTGAAGCAAAGTGCCCGAAAAATACTAAGCAACAAGGGTATCTGGTTTGGATAACTAAGGGCTTAACAAAGAATCTAAGGGTGTTGAGTAAAATAAGAAGGAATTTTGTATTACTAGTCTGACTACAGGATAGTAATGATTGTTTTTTCGTAATTGTCCTTAGGTAAACAATTGTTCATTTAAAATAAGTTACCAAAGGAAAACTTTTTAACGAGCAACTACTACTAGTACTAACCAAGCCGTAATCAATGATAACTGTACAACTATCGGTTATTACATTCTTTTTATCGTACAAAATTCAGTGACCAAATGTAGCCTTGTTGAAACCATATTTATTTTATTTGAACACAAATATTGGTACAAGAGAGCGCCAATATATATGCGCCACACAAAACAATGAAAATTCGAAGAGAGATAGAAAAAAAAACTAAGGAGCACAAAAGAAAAAGAGAACGATAACGAAGAGATTGGTGTAAGGTAGTGTGGTCGTAACGATGGAACGGAAAGGTACAATCAGAAGAAATCTTTCAAGTAAGGGAGACACAACCACTTTTTATGAAGAAAGTAAAAGAAGGTTACAGCAGGATCGCCACTGGCTTCTATTCTGAGGCATATCTGATAACGTCTCTAGCCACTGTGTAGCACCATCTCTCAGACCCCAACCAGGGAGTCGTAAAGGACCGACACAAGCCAGTCCTTTGCAGCTTTCTTTCATACCACGACACCATGTCATGCACTGACCACCTCTCCGCTTCTTCCAACCAGTCCCAGAGTCGGCAAATAATGCACGACGTGGAATTCTCTGGGACGACATTCGGAGAACATGTCCAAGCCACCGAAGTCGGTGTTTCAAGATGGTGACACCAACTGAATTATCATCTCTGTGCCCGAACACACGATGCCGAACCTCTGCATTACTGACATGGTGTTGCCACTGAATGTCAGCAATCCTTCGGAGACAGCGATGATCGAACACAGAGAGTCAGTCGTCTAACGTCCTCAACTCGGAGAGGCCAGGTTTCACAAGCCTAGAGCGAAACTGCTCTCACCGACGCGTTGTAAATCCGACCTTTTACAGCCAGACTAACATCACGAAGGCGCCAAAGATGGCCCAGATTGGCATAAGCCGCTCTGGCTTTCACTATACGTGCATTGATCTCATCACTTAAGCTACCACCAGGACTTATGCAGCTACCCAGATACACGAACTTCTCGACTACGTCTATCTGCTCACCATCCAGGGTGAGTACAGGATTGGAATCCTGCCAGTCTTGTAGAAGTACTTTGCACTTCGACGATGCAAAGCACATACCATACCTACGGACACTGATTAAGTACGGATTGCATGCCTTGGGCATTATCGCACAGTAAGACAATATCATCCGCATACTCAAGGTCGAGAAGTCTTTCTCCTGGCAACAGATCCACACCACCATTACTTACATTCATCAGAGCTGTTTCCAGAATGTCATCGATGGCAAAGTTGAAGAGGAATGGTGAGATTGGGCAACCCTGCCTAACCCCACTACTCGAATGGAACAATGGAGAGAGGTGGATGTATGCCCTCACTCTGTCTGAGGTGTTTTTATATAGGGCTTTCAGGATGTTAATAAACTTCTCAACCACACCCTTCTTCAATAGACAATCTCAGAGAACAGTCCTGTCCAACGAATCGAAGGCAGCCCTGATGTCAAGAAACACTACGATTGTTGGCCTTTGATAAGTATGGCGATGTTCTAACATTTGGCGGAGGGTGAAGATATGATCAATACATCCTCGACCAGAACGAGCCTGCTCCTCGCGAGTCAATCTTTCTCGGGTTTTGAACAACCTACGAAGTATGACGGAAGCCAATAGCTTGGACGCAATCGGAAGTAGACTTATCCTCCGATAGTTGTTGCAGGAACGACGTGAACCCTTTTTAAAGATAGGGACAACTATCGACTCATTCCATGACGTTGGAACACTCTCTAATTCCCAAACCTTTGTAAACAACGTCGTCAATTCCTTAGTCAAAAAGTCACCACCATCTTTAAAAAGAGCCGGAGGTAAGTCATCTGGGCCAGGTAATTTGTAACGCTTCATAAGTTGGAGTTCCTTGCGGACTTCCTCCTCGTTTGGTGGATGAAGTCCGCAAGGAACTCCAACTCTTGAAGCGTTACAAATCACCTGGTCCAGATGACTTACCATAGTTTCTGTGTGATCATGGTTAGTTATTAATTATTCGAACTGAGCTGATGTGGCAGTACAAAATGTGTCATTAAAACAGTACTAAATATAATAAATATATTTTTTGCGATATTCCAATGAATAAAAATTTGTATTTCTGACATTTCGTGAACTAACCTAATTCACTTCTTCAGAGTAAATAAATAACCGAAATAGAATTAACACAAGTTTAAATAGTACATAATGGTAGACAAGTTTATTTGTTCATGTGTACCATCAAAGCATTACTCCCCTATGTTGGGATCATCAAGTGAACAAAGCTGAAATAAGATCCACGATAATAAGTAAAAGTGGTTAATATACTAAAGAGTTGGTAAATCTTCATCAACTGAGATGGTTGAGATATGTAGTACGTATCTTCAACCATCACGACTACCACCACACTCAACGAGCAGTGATTGCTAGTGTAGGAGTAGATTGTGAGAAAGCTAGACATGTCCGAACCAATACATTGTATCATTCCATGAAAGTCTCTTACTGTTCGACTGAGATGTATTGGTGAGTGCAGACTGTCTGGTTGTGGGCCACGCGATTATCATAACCAATCGCTGGAGATTTTGACTGAAATGTCTCAGAATCTGTTACAATTGTGGTGCAGATGAGTTCACTCTTCGTCTTGCCTTAGATCTTGAGCACTGAAAGTATATTATAGTCTTTATTTTATGAATTTGCTCTTCTTGAGTCATAGTCTCTATGTTTAATGCTTTGCACTACCACTGATACTGTTTCTACTACTCTGGTATTTGTCTTAGTAAATTTATTTGGTCGTGTTGGTGCGGTGTGATAACTTGGATGGATGCACGTATGTGCTAGCTTCTACGTTGCTTATAACTGACTGACCGACCTTTGATTACCTTGATATAGTAGGCAAAGGAGAACGTTAGACTAACATAACCAATAATATCTTCATTTAAAAAAACCTGACAGCTTTTGAGTCATCTCAACTAAGTCAATGTATTAGCTACACAGAAGTACCTCCAACTGCGTAGTGTTGACTGTTGACGTTAAATTATGGGCCAATGGTGTGATAGAAAACAATGTCGTTTACTGTGAGGTGAATTTTAAAAGTGTCGAATAGATTTTACTGGAATCAAAGAGAAAAAAATGTCTTATACGGATATTAAACTTACTCAATCTTGTAATAACTCAGTATTAGTCTGACGCGATCAACATAAGGGCAAAATCTGAATCCAATGAGAGTTAGGCGATTAGGATCAATCAGTGGTTTAGGGTCATCTGTTAAAAAAGAGGATATGAATTCAGTTAGAAAGTTATTTTTGTCAGTATCTATTATGATAATACAAAGTGGGATAGTGTATTTTTGGGCATTCTATATATCTGCATCACTTCTGATGTGTGGTTGACAACTGGAACTTCATCACCTAAAACGGAGGTCGTTTTCATAGAAACTGGACGACTTGAAAGAGTTTTAGGAATATTTTTACAGTACTGCTGGTTAACAGCAGAACTAACAAGTAACCCATGCTGATTAAGCTTAGCTCACAGAAAATGTAAGTCTATTTGTGGGGTTCCATGTCATTTAACGGGAGTATCGAGAAGACAAAAATATGAATCAAACATATGATTACTAACCGTTGGCAGGATCTCAGTAATCTTATTTGTTTGTACCCTCAACATAGTATCAGAACCTGGTATTATAATTAAACAGCGCTTGAAATACAACGGAACCACTCACTTTTAGTGGTTTTGGCTTTTACGAAACTAAGATTTGAGAACTGTTTCACTTGTGAACAGTAGGTCCTATTGAGTTTATTACAAGGCAACCCAGTCCGGCAAAAACGTGTATGATTTATTATGCAAAAGATCTAACCAACCATATAAAATAATCCAGAAAGTCGATGAGCAAAACACAACCAAGATGAAAGCAGCAGTTACGTCTAGGAACTGACTATAGCCGATTTATATTACGCAAGACACAATAATTAAGATACTTGGTCTTGGTGACATTGATAATAAGGGTATTGACGGCCCCTAAATTTTCCTGGAAGTCTGAGTAAAAGACTTTAGGCTGCATAACTGGCTTTATGAATGAATAAAGTTCTTCAGGAAGGTTCGTCAAAATGAGATGATAGACCTTTGTGATATACACTTTTAAAGATTAACTATGTGATTTGTGTGAGGATAATTGGATTTCAAGTCTGCTGTTGTGTTAAAACTAGGGGGTCTCCTTCATATAGTATTGATTAATCTGAACACATAAAAAATTGACTATGAATGAGTCGGTTAGGTTTTTTAAATCGTGGATGTGGCGATTACCTATTTACTCTGTGCTGCATGCTTGAAAATCGAAAAACTATTGACCGATAGTTATAGTTCTCAGAATCAAGAGTGACTACACATAATCGAACAAGATCATATTCTAAAACTGTAAACTTTGAAGGAATTTTCTTACAATGTCTATTAACTTTCTTAAAAAAGCATTATGTATGATGAAAAATATGGCCACTTTTTCCCACTGTTGAGAACCATTAGTGTAGTCACGAAAAGTTGTACACCGTCATTCCATTTCAAATTCCTTGCGGATCGAATTTTGGAAGCAAGGTTAAACGATGTAAGCAGTGGCGATGTAATTATGTTGTCCTTAAAAATATCTTAATCACCTTGCAGCTAGCTACAGCTTACGAATCACTAACCCTATCTTCCTGTGACTATTAGAAATACTCGGTTAATAGTGTAGTTAACCATCACTTCTGTAAAAAGCTGCTCATAACCTGAATTGCAGCTTAGTATCAACAGTTACTTGTAACTTCATTGCTAGCTGCAACTTCGAGTAGAACGTATACTCACATCAAACGGCAAAAATAATGTTTTGAGTTATATTTGTTTGTTTGTCAACCTTACGAAATTTTGGAAATAACGAAATAATACGTATATGATAATTTAGAAATCAATTCCTGCCAGTTACCAGAAAATTAAACCACTGTAAGGGCATCTAAAAGTAACATACTTCGTTTGAGGTGCATTGTTTTAAATAATCTCCAAACGCTAGCTGAGATGTTTGGTCGATAATTAGAGCTGTGCTGACAAAAGTATAGTCTGCGGATAAAAATACAACGATTAGAGACGGCAAAAGAAATGGATATAAAAAAACTGACTTCAAAGAGATAGGAAATCAGCTATGTAAATTACAATGGACGAGCTTATTTAAATGTAATTACAAGCTAACCACTGAAAATCCGTTTGTGACATAAATTTAGGTGAGAAACATATGAACCACAGGGAATAGTGATTTAAGACTACTTAATTCATATTTTTTATTTGAACACATAAATATTGGTACAAGAGAGCGCCAATATTTATGCGCCACACAAAACAATGAAAATTCGAAGAGAGATAGAAAAATTCATATGCAGGGTTACTAGTCAAACGAGTCAGGTTTAAGATATATTACCCGAATTCATATGCACAGCAGAAACAATACGTACGTTAGGTGGTAATACAACTTTGGTACATGCGACTGTTTTATTTATTCATTTCTATATATACGCCTATAAAATTTCGCAAATTACTATTTCTGCTAGCATGAACATTTTAGAATCAACACAACTATTGGATGCTCAGTCTACCGAAATTTAGATCCTTTTGAATGATTCACTCACCATTTTTAAAGCTTCTCTGTGAATTTCCAGATAGCACTGTATGGAAGTAGATGTTTGTCAACCCCACTACTTATTGTAGATTCCGTGGTTAGACTATAATTTATGGACGACCTTCGAGCGACGCTGAAGTGACCCTGAGAGTGAACAACTACTAATTAGGACTAAATAAGGGTTATAAAGCAGTTAAAAATCTCATTTACAGTTGATGGATAGGGTTAAAAAGTAGATTTAGGGTTTCCGCCACGAACTGACATCAGTTATAATGCCAGAACTCTATCTAGCCAAATGCATGGATGGATTTTGTGCCCGAATTCGTGACTCGTTATATATATATGATTATTTGGTCTATAAATTATAGTCTCGCCAAAATTTCCCAACAGCATGACATTGGGCGACATAAAAATATACGTGTCGATCAAGTACAATCAAAGCAACTGATAACAACGAAGAAATGAAAGAATATTGAGGTTAAAACAAGTTTTCAATGACAACCAAAACATGATAGAAGCTGTCTCCGAAGCTAATAAACCGCCCAGATTTAGCTTACCGCTTGATCGTGACGACCTTGAACCGACTTTCTGATTAGAGATGTATAACAAAAACGGCCATTAAACATTTTGACTCAAAGTCAGGAAACAACTTACCTGTTTCCGTACCTAATAATTACCATTTATCTTCGACGAGTGGACCCCAAAATCATTTATCACTTCGTATTGCAGTCGGTTTTAGAAATCGACCTATTCACCCAAGTTTGGGGAAAGTTCGGGGTTTTGGGGGAAACTTCCAAAGTCATAGGACCTTCATCAATGTTTGAGGACATTTTGAGGAGCTTCGGGAGAATGTTGGGGAAGTTCGGGGAAATTCTATAAGTCAAATATTGGTAAATTTCCCCTAGTCTGGGGAAATTTTGGGGTTTCAGTTCCATCCGTATCTATTGAATCTACTACCTCAACTACGTTAGTGTCAACAGGAAGGATTCTTCTAGAGCCAGTGAAGTATCTCCAAAACCGATCACAATTATTACATTGTTCATAACATGATCAAATGGACTGGGATTGCTCCGTTGCCATTCCTTAAGGTTAAAAACTTGAGACGGAAAGAGTTCATTGATTGGAAGTGTGTCACACTTGAGGCAGCCTCGTCTTACCTCATGTCATTTTGTAATGTAGTAATAACACACACACAATCCATTCCAGCTTTTGAAAAAACCTTAATCAACTCAAACATCATGCGACACTAAATCACTTTAACCCTCATGAGAACTCTTGTGTCTACAGAAACTTATGAATCTCAGCACACATCCACGTCCTGTTTCTATTACCTGGTATTTTCACGCTTATGCCCTTTGTGTGTTATTGTATTTGTCTGTCATTTTGTACCTTACACAATGCTTGTCTTTTTGCGACACTACTCATTATCTATTTTGAGCTTGTTGGGATAGTTAGCGTAGTCTTGTCTCATAATTATCCGCATTTTCTATAGGAAACTTTGTGGTGGCTGATACTGTGTCAAGCCCAAATCGACAATTCTTCTCAAACTGCATTTTGACCCTGTTAGTAATCAGCCTACAGACCCTGACTGTTTTTTATATGATCATACGTGTGTTGATTGCTCACTCTATTCATCGTGTGTCTGTAATTTGTTTCGTCTGAGCATAAATGTTGAGTCATTGTATCATTTCGTTTCGCCTCGCGTATCTTCGATTCGTTTCTCTGACTGTCTGTCTGGATGAACGATTGTATGGAATGGATGTGTTCAAAATCCATTCTCGTGTTTGACATAATTAATTCCATCATTTTTTAAAGCGAATTAAGTCGATAATTATATGCGAGAGTAGGTGGCATGTGTATATTGTTAACACCATCATACGATCAAATCAGTCAGATCAACAGATAACTAATGTTCATTTTTCCTATACGGACCTAAATGCTATTCCTCCTGACAAGTATTCGCTAGTTCTCTAGACTGCTACTAGATTAGAATGAATCAGGCTATGGAATAACTGAACGAAAGCCTCAGCTTTGAAGATATTCTAAGATGCGCCGAAGACATTCCATTAAATCGACTTTTGGAAGAACATTCCACAATGTGCTAATGATTTTTCTTTTGAATAACTCTGCAATTAGGTATTCTAGAGTTACTGCCGGTCACACACCCGGGCAAAGAATAAAGATCGTGCAAGAAGTTCGCAACGCCATCCCTTAGGACATAATCTCGCTATAAAGCGTTAACGAAAATAAGCAAACTAAGCAACTTAAACTCTGAACTGGGGGTTGAAATAAGAATTATGATGCTTTATAATGAAAGTCGAGGTACTTCCGAATTCACCAGACCGATGCCCTTCTAACAATCGCAGCAACAAGTTTTATGTGTACACGGAACTTTCGGAAAATGTGGGAGACCGTGAGGATCAGTCAAGTAGTAAGAGAAATGAGGAGATACAAGTTGGCAGAGATCGCTATCAGCGAAATTCATCGGACACAAACTGAAAAGCAAAGATTGCATTCACAAGAGATGCTGCAGTAATCGCTCCACGATGAAGAAAATGCTTCGCATAATCAAGGAGTTGCTCTAGTGCTGTCCAAAGAGAGAATTATGGGAAGGGTATATCACGGATCATCAGAATCATCAAAGAGTCACACAAAATAAAAACAGATGGAATTACAATGAATTCTATCGAAAATTTTGCACCTACAATGATAACAGTGGCAAGATAGGACGGTATAATCAGAGTATAAAGTCGATCAAAACGAAAAATCCAAAAAACGAGCTGACAATATCGATTTGAAATCAAGATGCCAGGGTCAAAATGTAAAAAGCGAACACCAGAAAAGAAGTGGACTTAGGTTGGCAACATCACAGTATATTGAGTGCCAAGAGGAAACAAGGGAAAGATGAAATAAACAGTACCAAGTAAAATTTTTAAAAATATCATAAAAAATACTGACAAAATCAAAAAACAGGTAGAGAACAACAAAACTATCTGGAGAAAAATCAGACAGAGATCAAACAAACACTAACCTCAACATGTCGGGAGGTTCTGTGTCGTAACATGCATCGTCATAACGAATGCATCTTTATGGAAACATTGATGCGGATTCAAGAATTGAAGAAGAAGGAGAGGGAGAAGAAGAAGACAGCAATTAAAAACAATAGAACAAGAGCAGAGAAAGTCAAGGCATGAGCTGAATACACCGAAGCAAACAAGCAAGTGGAAAGGAGCATTGGAGCCGACTATCAGAAATTTGTGGAAGAGCTAGGAACGACAGTGGCAGAATCTTTAGCAGATTGAAATACCAAACAACCGTATGACTCAGCGATGAAACTGGTAAGGGAATATGATGAGTGGGAGAGACCGGTCACAGACCACGACGACAAAAAAGTCATTAAAATTAAAATATATGTGAAAACAGAATACCAAATCTTCTAGAAATATTGTACAATAATCGAGTAAATACAAAGTAACAATAAATTCACGATGATACGGATGAGGATGATGATTTCAGCAATCCGTTTCGTTGCTACCAATGACTGACTGACCGACTGACTGACTGACTGACTGACTGACTGACTGACTAAATGAATGGATGAATGAATGACTGTCACATGAACCGAACCGCCTTCATCACTTTCCTACTCTCTCGCAACATGCGTATATTCATGCATCGTGATGATAAGCAGCAAATAAATAACTGCCCATTTCACTAGCACTTCACTGATCAACACACACGCAAATTGCACCACACTTGCAAACTTAGAGAAAACGGATGGAGTGTTGTAGTAATTGATTAGGTTGTTTATTTATCAGAAATATCTTAACACAATTGCGTGTGGATTTTTATCGATAGATTATGTACACACATGTATGAATGATACTAGTTGGTATTGTTCAAATATTGTTGAAATATTGTTCAAATATTGGAGCGTACAAAATCCAACATTCTAGCCACACTGGCATACTCGACAATGATATCGGGAAGGTTTGGCAGTGTGACACCATGTGATACGACACCGAGTACTGGACCTTGAGGGGATGGAAGGAGAGGTCCACCACTGTCACCTGGAGCGGGTAACTGTCCGAAATTCTGACCTGACTTCACACAAATAGGATCGCCATTGGTCGCGTGTCGACATTCCATTATAGTCGCTCGACCTGTGTCAAACAAACAACACAACAGAATAGAACAGAATGAAAAAGAACAGAAGAGACAAGTGAATTTGCAAAACATCAACTGACACTAATTATCCACCTTCAAACTATGCACACAACAAACACTCCACATGCAATCCCACGTGTGCACCACATTCAACAATCAAGTCACTGTCCGTCTCACCACCATCCCTCTATACACATGAAACTGATT